ATCCTCGCAGGTGCACCGCTTTCCTCGCCAGCTTCCTGCAACTCTGGCTGCACCCTAAGCAGAGTGTGTCGTGGCAGGGCCTCGGAAGGTCCCTGCAATTGAGCATCGTATCCAGGGTGCAGCAGCCTCTATTTGCAAAGGGATATTTTTCTCATTTGTTTGAAAGCCGAGGAAGCCGGGCAGGCTGGGATTGTTCCGGTTGTAGCTTCAGGGCTCTCAACCTTCCCCTATTAGTTAGTGGCTAAAATGCCTGCACGGTGTTCCAGTGAAGCAGCTGTGGTCGTTGTGGCTTATGGTAAAGGCCCTGCTGAGACATGCTGGGTGACCCAGGCTGGGCTCAGAGACAGTCAAGAGCTGGAAAGTCGAACGAGCGAGGGGCCCCACTTGGTGTGATGGCTATCTCTGCACTTGCGGGACAGAATATAAACTTCAGACCTGACTGTTCGACTTTCTTGCCAGTATCGAGAATGGAAAACGAGATAGTGTGACCCCCGCACAGCATGCAAAGGTGGCGCGCGGTGAGTAGGGCTGCCAGGTGTAGCCTCTGCCACCGGCCACGGCGCAGAATTCGCTGCTCAGAGGCTATTTACCACAGGGCTGCTCCCGACAGTCATTTCTCTCCAATTGGACCCGGCAGATTGGCTTCCCAGTCCTTCATCCAGTTTCATGGGTGACAGCAATGAGCTGAAGTAAAGAGGTTGGAGTCACCCTCCTTTATCACTAGCCCAGCCCGCACCTCCAACCCTTCAGCGAGGGGCAAAAACTCGGGTTCCTTGGGACCTTGCAGGAAGGGGCACACCTCAGGGGCTCCAGGCCTGGCGCCGAGTTAGGCGCCAGCCGGGTCCTGGCTCCTGCTTCTTTGTCTGGCCCGCAGGGGAACCCGGGCCAACGCTTGTGGGTGGGAGGAGTAGAGCAGGCGAGGCCTTCGAAGTCTTTATCATTCAAAATAAATGTAAACCCAGCAATCTGGAGTAGGAGGCCTAAGGCTGTTTTAGGGCTTGTAGTAGGTGAGGGTCATATTCTCTAGGCAGGATTTGAGGCCTAAGCTGCTTTTTGCTTTTTAAGGTATTGAGATGTTGGAATTTGTATTGCGAGTGTCAATGTTATTTAGAGAGAAATGCTTGTGTATTGCCAACACAAAATCTCCCTGGTCCACCGGTGGCCACTGTTGGAGGAATGGGCTCTTGAGTCAAAGAAACTCCTGCTGTTCCAGGTCTGGACCCATGTTTTCTCACGCATGTAGGCCTGGAAATGCTTTGGGGTGCCTGAAGTGGTTTTGCAGCCTCATGGACTGTAGAAGTACATTCAAGCCAGGCAGGACCTGGCTGGGTTTGGTTGCTAAGTTGGGCTCAGTTATCACTTTAATTCTAAAGAAATTAGACCTGGATAAATATCCTTTGAATTCAAAGAAATAACTCAGTATTGATTTACATAGCCCCTTCTCAATGGGAGACATTGGTGGAAAAAAAAACCTTGCTAGTCTTTTTCCTCATTCAATATACTGTAAAACTCTGTGTGTGTATGTAAGGAAAGGGTGCCTGATATCCTGGAAACCTGCACAACTTTATCCCCTCCCCCAACACACACACACCAGTGAAAGCTCTGAGTCACAAGGGAGCTGCCTCTTGCCAGTGTTGGCATCTTGAGGAGTAACCAAAACTATCCGTCTACACAAGGAAACACTGAGTTTGGTGTTCTTGTCTGTGGTGACAAGCTGTATTGTCCATATTAGCACCCTTCTCTCTTAGACTCCCCCAAATCCAGTTAAAAAGTGGCCTCAGTTTACCCCATATTTTGAAAGAGTCTTACTTAAGTTTGGGGATAACATTTCCCTCATCTCTCCAGTCCTGGGTCTTAAGACTAGGCAGCTGGGAAACTCTGACTTGACACTAGCTCCCACAGGGGGCTTCACAGAGTTTTTCAAGACTGTCTAATTTGGAGAATGTTAACTATGCATGTCCCAACCTACAGTCTCCTGCTCTAGGCATTTTCAAACCTGGAGGAGTCCAGTGGAGTTATGAAAACACAGCTAACCAGCTCCTCAAACTAAACATCAGTTGCCTTCTCCATGACTCCATTCCCAAGTGTGTGAGCACCCAAGGCTTTCTTAATAGAGGGAGTGGATGTGCTGGGGCCCAGAACTGATTCAGGGCAAAAACAGCACATGTTTCTACCTTCCCTAATCTTAGGATTGTATTCAGAAGTCCGTCTGCCTGTCTGCCCTCTCCTCTCAACTCCTCTCTCTTTTTTCTCTTTTCACAAGCATAGGACCCCATTCCCTAATACAAAAACGTTCTTCTTTCTCTAAACCCAGGAAAAAAGGGCTCAACAATGTTTAAATACTTAGAATAAAACAAGATAAATGCTGATGTCTGTCTTTTCCATCTGTAGGCTAAACTAAGGTTGGGCTCTCCATATTTGCCCTGCTGGGAAATATATCAGGGCAAAGGAGAAGTAAGTGTTGTTAGAAGTCAGCTTTTAGCAAGCCAGTCTTTGAAAA